GAGATGAGCATGGGAAGAGGAGACAAGGGAGCTAGAGAGCAGGAGGTCGTGCGAGGAGCGGAGAGTTCGGTTTGGTTGATATTTGGAGACAAGATCGTTGATGTAATTTGGGGCAGAGTTATAAATGGCTTTATATGTTATTGTTAACGTCTTGAATTTTATTTGTTGGGCAATGGGAAGCCAGTGGAGGAATGGCAGATATGGAACGGTTAGTAAGGTGGATGAGTCTGGCAGCAGCATTCATGACTGAAGAGGGGATAGCCTGCGATGAGGTATGCCAATGATGAGGGAGTTACAATAGTTAAGGTGAAATAACAAGGGAGTGAAAAAGTTGCTTAGTGGTTTCAGTGGTTAAGAACGGGTGTATCTTGGAGATGTTGCGGAGGTGAAGTCTACAAGATTTAGACAGCGATTGGATATGGGGTTGAAAGGACAGATGCGATTCCAAGATTTACCTGACATGAGGGGAGGGACTGATGGTTGCATTATTGATCTTGATGGGGAAGTCAGGGAAGGGGGGGGGCATGGGCTGGAGCAAATAGTATGAGCTCTGTTTTAGAAAGATTACATTTGAGGAAGTGGAGTGACATCCCTGTTGCTATATCACTTAGTAGGTTAGTAATGTGAGACTGAGGGGGTGAGGCGAGGTGAGAAAGACAGATTTGTTTGTCATCAGCTAGAGATGGTACTTAAAGTCATGGGAGTATGTGCAAGTAAAAGTGCAGTGCATTTTTTTCTTTATTTTTCTTGCACACAAATGAATAATCAAAGTGAACGCAGCTTTAACATGACCGTGTTCAGAGACTTATGGCGCTGCTCCAAGCCAGGAAGCCAAAAGAAAGTCACCTCACCGACAGAGGAAGTGAGAGCAGCATCCACAAGTTGTTCCAGACACAATGAGAGATGAGGGGGTGGACGTCATTCAAACCTATCCCTGGAGTCTGATATGAATGGGATGGCCTCAGCCGCTGCTCTGGCCATGCCCTCTGATGTGTTTCACCCCACCCACCCAGGCTTGCTCACAGAGGTATGATCAAGTGCTGGTGGGTGGGGTGAAATGTCACAAGGCCAGAGTGACAGATGAGGTAATCCTGTTTCACACTCCAGGGGCAGTGTGTGTGAGTGGCATCCATCCCTCATCTCATGCAGCATTAATATGATTACTAAGATAAGTGAATCTTATCTACTGCTTTAATCGATCCACACTATAGAGTTTCAACGTAAGGAGGACCAGTACAATATAACCATTATGTAGTAATGCTAAATTAATTTATGTATGCCCCTTTGTATGGAAATAATTGCAAACTATTCAAAGAAACTTTCACAGATTATAAATGCCTTGAGGCAGGCATTGCAATCATGTGACCGCTGTGATTGGCATCGGGATCTTTCCGGTACCTACCAGATACTGTGTTGGGAGTGCACAGGGAGCACTCTCTCAGCACAGTAAAGTATTTACATAGGGATGCATATATGTGGCCACTTTGTTAAAGCCCACCTGCTGAGAAACTGCATAAGACTGACAGGAAGTGGTTGAAAAAAAAAAAAAAAACATTGATAATATTATTTAAATCAACTTGACCTCTTTTACATGGTAAGGCTACATTCTTACAAAAATTCTTAGTACCTTCAATGACTTGACCAATGTTGATTAGAAGTGCTTTAAAATATTGTTTACTTTTCACATTTAATTCTGGTTTGAGAAAAATATTCCTTCATGTTCCTCAATATTAACACCACTGTGTTTAAAAACAAATGCCAATTTGACCCCGCTAATTATTAGAAAATCAAATGAATGTTTGTCAAATGAAAATGAATTGCTCCTCCCCTTCTGTGTCAGCTCCAAAGCAAGTTTTGGCTTGCTCAATTGACACACAAAGTGTGGCTCGGTCCCACCTCCCCTCACAGGATTTGATTGACAGCAGCAGGAGCCAAAGACTCCCACTGCTACCGTTGAGTCCTGTAAGGAGAGAGCAGGACTGCTGCTCTTGGGCACAGCTGTGGATTGAGATCAGACACAGGTATTTAGGTGGGCTGAATCGGACATGACCATGGAAGGGTTTTTACCTTAATGCAGAGAATACACTAAGATAAAAACCTTAAGCCTTTACAACCACTTTATATAGTGGTTGGTATACCTGCCAAGGGTTTAGATATAAGTGTATTTTAATGAATGGAGAAAATTAGGCACATGGCTTTAAACTTTCTAAATGACTGAACTAGAGTTAAACGTACATCCACGTCTTAAGTAAACATTTTCTTTGGATTTCATGCCCTAAAGGTTACTGTTTGTATGCTATACACTGTTTGACAGTTGTATGGAGTAGCTGACATTCTTCATATTGTATAACAATTAATTCAACACATGGTTACCCTATTGGAAGTTATTTCCCTGTATAAAAGGATTGATTGGAAGAATTACATTGACTAATGTCAAATACCATATGATCTGCCAGTGCTTGTTATTATGACAATACTGCTAAACTAGCTGCTAAGTTTTACTAGATGCTTGCCATTTTTGGAGACTGATTTGCTAGTTGTATGTTCACATATAGACAGTTGGTTTGGGATAATGCTGTTTAAATGAAAGTGATAATAAAAGCATACGTTTTTCTTTAATAAAAAACATGTTATACTTACCTGCTCTGTGCTCCGTGTATTGCACAGAGCAGAACCTGACCCCCTCTTCTGGAGTCCCCAATCAGCACTGTCCACTCCTCCTCTCCTGCTTGTATCCTCATAGCAATCTGTGTGCTATGGGGGCACACATGTGAACACACTCCCCAGTTGGCTGCGTGTGTTAATAGACATACAGAGCGTAGCTCGCCCCTGCCCACCGCTCTCTCCTCACAAGCTTTGATTATGGCTCCCGCTGCTGCTTGTGTGTCCAGTTAGAAGAGAAAGAGAGGAGAACGGGGCTGCAGCCGGCACAATGCTGGATCAGTAGAAGACTCAGGTACATGTTTAATGACAGGGAAGGGGGAAATAAGTATTGGATCATTTTTCACCATAATGCATAGACTGCATTGAAGTAAAAAAAAAATTAAGATTTTAGAACCACTTTAAGTAAAAAGTGTCCATTAGGAACCCTAAAATCCAAATATAACCTATATCAATTAAATCAGTATGTTGAGAGTTGCTACAGCATTGAGTCCTAGTTGGTTGATTATGACATCAGCCAGACTTAAATTAAAGTGCATGGTTAGCCAAACCTATTTTTTTTTTTTTACATTTAGCATATACTAGCAAAGCTGGAGAACCTTTTTCAGTTTGGGATATACTAGAGAAGGTGTAGAACCTTTTTTCAGTTTGGGAAATACTAGAGAAGGTGTAGAACCTTTTTTCAGTTTAGGATATACTAGAGAATGTGTAGAAAGTTTTTTTTTAGTTTAAGATATACTAGAGAAGGTGTAGAACCTTTTTTTTTAGTTTAGGATATTCTAAAGGAGGTTTAGAACCTCTGTCAAGCTTTTATTGCTGCCTGTGTCCCCGCTAGGAAGGTTTTCAAGATTTGTCCTGATGTCATTGAGATAGAAAGTGATGAGTAAACCAAAATTCTACAGTTGTCACTGAAACAGGAATAGAGAGGAAAATTACTATGAGGATATCTCTTCTGGTTGCAGCTATCAAAGAGGGAATCCTCCCCTTACTTTTTAAGAGATCACTTCTTGGCGCATCTTCCCAATGAGACACAGACATCAATAAAATAAACTGGAAGGGTTTTAACCATTTCTTACTCTATTCAAAATAAAAAAGGTTTTGGTTATACAAGCACTTTAACTGTTTTAGAAGAAGTCTTACTATACAGTATATGATCAGCTAACCTATTAATGTCTGTCTATTTATCCATCTATATATATCATAGTCCTCTTCTTGTTTATCCATCCATTCGTCTTTTCCATCTCCAGATATGTATATGAAATTGAAAGTATGCAATTAACGTGGACATTGAGATTAAAAAGAACCCTACAGAAACTTTGCTTTGCTTTGTCACCACAGGGTTATTTGCTATACCTATGGTTCTAGTAAGACTTGTGCTTCAGTTCTCACATATACATATGTATACAACCTCCTCCCCTGAAGCTACTGCAGATTAACATTGTTCATTATGTGCCCCCCCTGTGGAGTAAACCTCTGAAGCTAGGAAGTCTTCAGGAAGTTGCCTGTTACTTTTACTGACGCCTCAAAACCTAAGCTATTTACTGCTTGTCTATACTGTACTAGAAATATGTACCATAACAGTGCTGGCACTTTCAGTATATGGGCATATTTATGTCTGCAAATAATAAAATACAAAGTAGGCAGACAAAAAATACAAAAGGCATAAGCTGACAAATATTTACCAATTTTTCCTTTGGCAGTAGACAAGCCATGTGGAAACTCTGAAAACATCTATGATGCATAGCATGAGTCAGATATTATAATTATTGCTAAGCAAGGAACATTCAATGTTTTTTTCTATACAGGGGCTCACTTACAAAAACTGGGTTGACTGTGTTGCCTGCAATAGCCATACAAGACAGGTTGAATTTGTCTGCTCAGGAAAGTGAAGACAGGTCCCTTTTTTTTAGCTTTTGCAGGTACAACTCATTGTATATTGCAGCACTCCTTCCATTGTATCCAAATGGTCAGAAATTGTTTAAAGATGGCAAGGTGTATAAAAGATCTGACAGCTGAAAAATCATTTATGGGATTGGTCAGTTCGTAAACACCTCAGTCTAACCTCAGAATAGTGACTGGTTGTTAAAGTCTACCTTGAAAAATTGATCCTTCTCTCAAGACTGTTTGGCAAGTGGGTGTTTGTACCGGTTGCATAGCTTACAAAGATATAATCATTGTCTAACCCGCCTGCAATTAAGTGGACCAAGCAATTACCATGATAATACTATAGGCACCTGAGAGCACATATTAAAGGGATTTAGTCACAATATTAGCAATTTAATGGCACAAATCAATGAACTATAGCTAACACATTATCATAGGAAAATATGATGTCTCACCTGCCCAGGCCCACTTAGAGTGGGGAATAAAACCTCGTTTTCACTGAACATGCTTTTCAGTTGAGGAAAATTTAAAGGCCTCATGAAGTTGAAATCATTTTTATCTGACATTGTGGAATAGCAGGATTTGTAACACTGACCCTTGGGATCTGTTGGTGCCATCCTAACTTCCATATACTTCAGAGTGCCATCCGAGTTCAAATGTAGAGTTGGCTGATACTGTCCCATGTAGTGATTCGGCTCAGAACCATCTTTACAACACCATGCCGTACCACTATCTTTTTTCAGACACTTTACCAGCAATATTGTGAAGGTGATAAATGATACAGCACTTATTGCCACCAAAGAAATAATTAAATACATTGTAATTTCAGAACTGTTTGTTGAACTCGGAAACAAATCCTGGGACTTCATATTTTCCTGGACTGTAGTATCCTCCAATGCAATGATGATTGTCACTGTAGCAGATAAAGGAGGTTCTCCATGATCACTAACTGAAATAACTAAACTTTGTTCTTGGTTTTCATTTTCCTGAAAACTACGAGTAGTTCTAATTTCTCCCGTTTGGGAAGATATAGAAAATAAAGATGAGTCAGTGACATTAACAAAGTTATATAATAACCATGCATTATGACCAGAATCAAGGTCCACTGCATTTACTTTAGTGACAAAGTATCCACCAGGGGCTGACCTTGGTATCTTCTGATGTGCAAGAAACTCACCAGAATGCTCAGGGTAGAAAATTGATGGGGAGTTGTCATTGGCATCCAAAATGAAGATATACACAGTTGTGTTGGAAAACTGTTTAGGAGATCCAGAATCTTCAACTTTCACTGGAATTTGTAAAACCTGGACCTCTTCAAAATCAAATGAACGCTGCGCATAAATATTTCCAGTTTTCGGATTAATATATACAAAAGATGATATTGTGGAACCTCCAACTTGGCCATCAGCAATTGAGTAAACTAAGTTGGAATTCTCTCCTTCATCTGGATCTGATGCCAAAACTTCTAAAAGTAACTGTCCAGGCTTATTGTTTTCTTGTATGCTGGCACTGTAAGTAACTTGGGAAAAGGTGGGCTGGTTGTCATTGACATCTGTGATTTTTAAAGAGATTGTTTTTTGCGTCCTTAGAGGAGGAGACCCCATGTCACTTGCAACCAGGTCAATGATATACTGAGACATTGTTTCCCTATCCAAGGCACCATCCGTAATTAATGAATAGTGATCATCGGAGGATTTGAATTTAAACGGTAAATTAGAGGGCAGTTCCAGTTTTACCTCTCCATTTGAACCCAAATCTTTGTCATTTACTCTGAAGAGCCCAACAACTGTTCCAATTGCTGTATCTTCAGGAACATCTGTCATTAAAGAGGTCAGCACTATCTCTGGTGCATTATCATTGACATCATCAACTTCCACGTGAATAATACAGCTGCCCTCCATTTCTGGAACACCTTTGTCTTTTGCTCTGATGGATAACTCAAATGACCTTGACTCCTCATGATCAACTGGCCCAATAACAGAAATAACCCCTGTGTTTGGATTTAAGGCAAATATCCTTTTGATTGAATCTGGTGTATGATCATCAAATGAATATTCAATTTCACCGTTGGCGCCCTCATCTAGATCGGTGGCATTAAGTTTTAGCAGTATTGTGTTAACAGCAGTATTTTCCTTTAAATTAATTTTTATAGGATCCCTTTTCAAAGGTAGGTGGATTGTCATTTAAATCCATGACAATGACATTTATTTGTGTAGTTCCAGACCTTGGAGGAGTGCCTCCGTCTACAGCTGTAAGGATAAGGTGATGCCTGTCTGCTTCTTCTCTGTCCAAAACTTTTTCTAACACTAGCTCCGGAATGACAGTACCATCTTTGCGGTTCTTTACGGACAGCGAGAAATAAGGACTTGGATCCAGTTTATATTGTTTAATTCCATTGGTCCCCACATCCAGATCATGTGCACTTTCCAAAGTAAACCTAGCTCCGGGACTTGCTATCAGTTCTGTAATCTTTATAGTTCTTTCATTGTTTGAAAACATGGGAGAGTTATCATTTATATCCAGAATCTCTACCATAACACGGTGTAGCTGTAGAGGGTTTTCTATAACTACTTCAACTGGTAACACACAGCTTGTGCTAGAGCCGCACAGGCTCTCCCTGTCTATCTTTTCATTCACAACCAAAGCTCCATTTTCCCAGTTCACAGCAAAGTATTTTCTGCTTCCCTCTGATCCCATCCTAAGCTTGCGTTTTGAGAGATCAGAGATTTTCAGCCCCAGATCTTGCGCTACATTTCCCACCACTGTCCCTTGCTCAGACTCCTCCACAACTGAATAGCGAAGCTGCCCAGAGACCCAGCCCCAGCTACAAAGGAAAAAGAAGCACTTTACTTGCCATTTCCAAGTCTCTGCTGAGTTTTGAATGTCCATAACTTAAACCTTCCCTCCAAGCAGCGTGACTGCTGTCTCCGAATCCACATAAATCCTAGGAATTAAGTGCATCCATGGTACACAAAGAGACCTTCATATAGTAGCACATTTGTATCCAACTTGCTAAATACATCCACAGAACTCTTATCAGAGCAGCAGCCTTCCTTTCTCTGTTGCTGGAGGAACGCTTCACAAAACCAGGGGGGGAGAGAAAGGATGACAGCACAGGCTCTGTTGTGTGTTGTGTGCAGCGCAGAAGGATCAGATGCCATCTCTGCCCTCTACTGGTCACTGTTGTTAATTTATTAACTGAAAACTGTAAAAATATAGTGCTATATTTACAATCACAACTAAAAAGAAACCTTCCAACTTGTGCATTTTGGGAACTCTTTCATTTTCTATGATTTGTCCTACAGTAGATTTGCATTTTTTTAAACAGTTTCATCTAAAAATTACAATAAAACTGAAGTCATAACAAAACCTCTATTTCACTAATAATAATTGCTACAAGAAATTGTTGTTTAGTGGTAATCCCTGTAAAACAATTTTTTTCAGTAAGTTTTCATAATTTTTTTAAGCATGTTTGTGTATTTGTGAATGCATACACATTTACACACAGCAGTAAACACAACATTAAACAGACAGTTTTCTACACATATAATTTAGGTTTGAAGCCTGGTGAACAGAGAGCAAACTATGTCATAAATGAATGCCTACTTTATTATAATATCGGTTTGCCTTTAATTTGAAATTACCACAACTAAGAAAGCATTTCATAAAGTTATAGTACCTTCGGAAGTTCCAAATGCAGTTCTCTTTGCGACGTAGAAGTTTTTTATATATATCAAGAATTACTAACACAAAAACAGGTTTTACACAGGTACTCCATGAACACAAATATACTCTTTAAAATGCTAATGTATTATTTAATCTCTAAAAAAAATCAAATGCAAATCCATGCCATTTGTAAAAATTCTCTTGTACATAAAAACTACTTTTACTATAATATTATCCTATCCTGCCTCCAATAAACTTCATACAATCATGATATTTAACTTTGTTGCCATTCACACTCTGAATTCGAGGGTCACTGTTGGGGGATAATTAAACAAAAAATGTGATGCGCTAACTGCTCAAAATGTGAAACGTAAACTTTAAAAACATGCAATATCAATCCACAAAAGTTCAAATGTGAAGTTGTATCAGTCCAATCCAACATATATAACTCCTAGTGTTGTGCTATCATCCAACAATATCCAACGCCGTGCTTGAATTGTAGCCCCACACCCTGCTCACCTTGAAGTTTGGCCTATAAATTATAATAGGCCAAATGTACTTTTAGAAGGACTGTGTAGCCTCTAAATTTCTAATCCATGCAGTGTTCCTTCCACGTGCTATATCTTCATTGGACCTTTAGCTCCAAAACTGTGCATGAAAAAAATTGTAAATTATACTCAGATATACACTCACATTAAAAAAAGAAAATGTGCTCCAAGATGCAGTAATCAAATGGTCACATTTCTCCATCGTGCAAGCTAATCCATAGTGTTTCCCATCACCGAATAAAATATAACCGTACACTCACCTTCTCCCTTGACCTATTAGGTAGGTCATAAACACTTAGGGATAGTGGACGACTTCTGCTGGTCCACGACTGGCCTTTAGTGGCTATTTCTTTGACTCTCGCCCTTTAAGTGAACGGACTCCAGGATTTCCAATGGGATTATGTGGTATATGATTGTGATGCACTACGGTATATGCTTTTGCTTTTTCATGCACGGTTTTGGAGCTAAAGGTCCAATGAAGATATAGCACATGGAAGGAACACTACATGGATTAGAAATTTGAAGGCTACACAGTCCTTCGAAAAGTGCATTTGGCCTATTAAAATTTATAGGTCAAACTTCAAGGTGAGCATGGGGTGTGGGGCTACAATTCAAGCACAGCGTTGGATATTGTTGGATGATAGCACAACATTAGGAGTTATATATGTTGGATTGGACTGATAAAACTTCACATTTGAACATTTGTGGATTGATATAGCATGTTTTTAAAGTTTATGTTTCACATTTTGAGGAGTTAGAGCAACACATTTTTTGTTTAATTATTTAATTTAAGTGAGAGTACACTTGACCAGTGAGTGTAGCAATCTTCTCCTTCCTTTATTATTTAGGGTGTAGCAGCGCACAAGCCTTTATTATTTACTGTTGGGGGGGATATTCCTCCATGCATTACTTAGAACAAGAGTCTATTTCATCAGGAGTAGCAAAAGGAGGCAAGCGTTAGAATAGCATAGTCCAGCAGCCAAATGTATACAAAAAAAATCTTTAACAGCATTTCCTCATATCATATGTCCAAAGAGAAGAAGATTGCAAAGACTACCCCTGAATAATGGCTGGTGTTAGATCCAAAAAGTATGAGTTTCATTAGCCCCAATCTCTATTATTCTTTATTGCACTTCTTACCAAGGTCATAATACTGCTCTTTTTGTATGCACATAGACTTCCCTGGGCTGGGTGGTTAAAAGGAGATCTGACTGCTTGCAATCTTTTTACTCACATTGGAAGAATGAATTACAGAATGGACCCTGGGTATGGTCCTATTTTTTACAGTCTCCCTCACTGAAACTTTGGAGATACATTACGAGGGAATGCTATTGTAGATTTTATATATATTGTGCCACTGTAATATTGTATTCTAACACTTCCCTCTTTTTGCTCCTTCTAATGAAGTTGACCGCTGGGCAAAAAAACACGTAGAGCAATATTCCTTCCAACAGTGACCCTCGAATTCAGAGTGTGAACAACAACAATGTTAAATATGATGATTGTATGAGAGTTATAGACAAAAGGGAGGGGTGGATCATGGTGGCAGGATAGTACAAAATGTTACAGTGTATAGTTTAAACACTTTTTCATTTACAAGAGGATTTGGCATATGAATAGGAATTGGCATACAAATGGCGTAGATGTGCACTATATATTTTTGAAAAGATTTAAACAGATTTAAAGAATATATATGTGTTTGTAAAGTACATGTGAAAATCTTGTTTTTGTCTGTGGAATCCCTGTTATATTTATATTGTGATGAGGGTACAGAATAACAGAAGGAAATAATCCAACCATGCAAATTTATTCTGCTTGCTGTCAGAAGTTTTTTTTACAAAACCACGTCTTTGAGAAAGCACAGAGCTAAACTTCCAGCAGAGTCAACTGAATGATACTGGTTGGAATATGAATACATGAATACATGAAACTGGCCTACCCTCATTGGACATCTTAACCAGGGGTTAAGGAGATTATTATTAGACAATGCCTAAATGCTGGCTGAAGAAAACCTGACAGATGAATGCAAGGCATGCATAGTAAAAGATTCAATGCTCCTTTCTAATAGAAAGGGAACGATAGGCTATCAATATAAACATGACATTGAGCAATATAATTTAGTTCTAACAGTCATTACTACCTTCCTAAACAGCTCAGTTTTCACAAGTGATGCTCACTTAGATTAATTGTTTATTTGCTTATTAATGGCTAACCTGGAAATGTGGCTTGTGCCCAATATCTAAATAATCATGCTTACTCAAATTTCGGCGCTTTGTGTGAATAAGTGTAATGATAATTATCACTTACATTGATTCACAGAATATTTAAGCATCAACTAAAAAAAAATATAAAAGCAAGAAGAGGATTAAATATCACTATGTGGGCTTTGTAAAGAAGCACAATTGATAAATATGATGTTAAGATTTATCTACCTCAGTATTCCAACTGCAATCTCATCTGAAGATCCTGCATTGTATAATGATGCTGTCCACCTGTTTTGACTGAGAAGCAATGATGTTGCAAAATTTCCCATCCATGAGAATGAGGAAATCTTCAAACATCCATCCTCAAATTTGACTCTGCTTTTAGAAACAACCTCAAAATACGATATAAAAAAACAGGACAAATGCATTACACATTATTAAATGGACCCAATTATCTTTAGTGCTCATGACAAAATGACAGAACCTCTATAAGGCCCTGTTCACACCAGAACATGACACCCGAAACCCTCGTCCCTGCACCATGTTCAAAATGCACTGCAGTTGCAATCTGCTGTGGGTGTCAATGTCAACTTAACAACACCCCAAACACAGATCAAACATACAGTGCGCTTGCCTGCACCAGATTTCATGGTACAGAAGTGCAATCTGGTTGTAATGAGTTTCCAGAAATAGTGCATGCGCTACTTTTTGTGCGGTGCAGTGTGATTTGAGCCTGTTCAAAATGAATGGGATTATTATTATTATACAGTATTTATATAGCGCCAAAAGGTTTGCTCAGCACTGTACATTATAGTGGGGGACAGTACATGAGACAATACAGTAACAAAACAATACATGAAGGGTTTGAGGGCCCTGCTCTTTTGAGCTTACATTCTAGGATCAAATTGCATTTCACTGAACTGCATGTGAATTGCACAGGTATGTGCTGTGTGTTCTTGTGTGATTCATAATGTGAATCAGTTCTAAAATCCACCCCAAGTTATACTTAGTTTCACAATATTGCCCTGCCACTTCCTTCATTGCAGCTGAAGCTGACACAAAATACCAGGTGTCCATGATTGGACTCTCTTTGGTCTCTTTAATCTAAATTCATGAAATGTTGCTATGTATGTCACCCTTAAAATGGTTCTAAATGCTCAAGGTTTTTTACCTTCATGCATTCTATACATGAAGGTAAAAAACCTTCTGTGTGTAGCAGCCCCCCGAGCCCTCCCCCCAAACTTACCTGAGCCCCATCCCAATCCAGCGATGTCCACAAGAGCCTCAGTTCTCCGGGGACTCTCACTCCTGATTGGTTGAGGCAGCAGCGGGAGCCATCACAGCCAGTGAGCCAATCAGGAGAGTGAGGGAGTGGGGCCAAGCAGCGGCTCTGTGTGTGAATGGACATGCAGAGCTGCAGCTCGGGAGCATGCCTGCTCGGGTGCCCCCATAGTAAGCTGCTAACTATGGG